ATAATAATAATAATAATAATAATAATAGCAACAATGACAACAATAATAATAATCGTAAAAATAATAATAATAGCAACAATAATAACAATAATAATAATCATAATAATAATTATAGCAATAGTAATAGTAATAGCAATGATAACAGTAATCTTACTACTAATGGAGATAAGGCCAAATTTTGCGAACAGTATATTCTCAAAAACTACGAAATGAAAAAAGTATGAAACTTTGCCAGTACCCATAACTTGAAACGTAGTGTTGCACTATTGTATTTTCATTAAGATCAAATGTGTAAGAAGAAAGCCCAGTTTAAGTCAAAGTCAGTCCTTTTGTAGCGATCGCCATCATTTGCTTCGACATTGTATATTCACTGCGGAGTGCCGACTGCGCCAAAGGGTATTTTGTGTTCAGTTGTAAATAAAATAGGTTTACGGGAATTCCCGGTTTCGGTCTCACGCCTTTAGGAGGAGGAGGAAGAGGAGGAGGAATAGGTGCAGGTGTAGATGGAGAAACGTTGCTTGTAAATTCCCCTCAACACTCGGCATGACATCTCACCCTTGGTAATGTTCTCTGCTGTCCGGCCGTCCGCCAGGGTAGGCCCGTGGGTCCAGCGACTGCCCCGGGTGACCTTGAGAGACGGCGGAGGCCCGGGCAGCTTCCGCCAGACGACGCTCTTGCTCGTGGCTGGGGACACAGACCGAAACATGGGTCAAGGTTGAGGAGTTCACAAGGTCTGCTTCGACTATCAAGGCACCCCGGAAATAGAGAGTGACAAACATACAAAAGAAGTAGAGGAAAATGACAATAGTAACGATCAGGAAAGAAAAAGCAGCAGTTTCCTGTTGTAGATCAAGCACAGTTATGAGCGTGACATGAATCAGCCCGTTTACAATTCTACTATGCTTGAACGAGAAATGACCCCTCTTTGGGAATGGCCTAAAGACACTACAGCCAGTGGCACTGCCCCGGGGGTATGACTGATCTGCTAGTCACCAAATGGCAGGTCAGTAAGGTGCTAAACTGCTTCAAACTACTATGCACTAGCTTTTATTCCCCATGGCTTTTTTTTCAGTGTGTCTCACCCCCCCCAATCCCCCCCCCCCCTCCCCGCAAATTTTAAATTGCCATTTGAAGCAACCAAAAGCATGGGTTCCAATTCAGTAGCACCCACTTTTACATTCTGCAAACAACTTGGAGAGAAAATTTGAACTTCTGTAAAACGGTAAAAATCACCAATTCAAGTCGTTTTAGTTTTAGTTTAAGTAAGAGTTTTACGGCACTTGCAACACAATAAGGTCGTAAAAGTGCGGGAGATAAGAGGTGTTACAAGACAGTAACAAACACAAAAAAGAAGTAGGAGAGAGAGAGAGAGAGAGAGAGAGAGAGAGAGAGATCAGGACGATTCAAGTTGTACATGCGATAAAAACCTGGAATAAACCCCCCCCGTATACAGAATAAGTGTAGTAGAAACCCCCCCCCCCCCCCTGTAAAAAATCTCAGATGACTGCGCGGGTCAGGGACCACTCTCTTACGCAAGGATCACACACCGATTGTGCTGCTCGGCGATGCTCTCGTACTCCCTCCGCTTGATTGTCGGCTCCCACTGGGCCGCGCGCGGGGGCTTGTCGTAGGGCGTGCCGCGGATGCCGGGAGAAAGTCGCCGCGACTGGTTGGGGTCCATGGGCATTCCCAGCATGCCGTGGTGTCTTCCGGCTGAGGGAATCAAAGACAAAAACAAGAAATATCGTTTAGATATTCACCAGAACCAGCATGGTACAGGGGATGGAAAGACGGGTTATTAACCAAATGAACACCAGAACAATCGGCAGATGGACTCTGAGGTAGATATTGGAGCGAGGAGCGGAGCACGTATGGCAATGCCCAGAGTGCTATGATGTCGTTCCCTGGATCGAGTAATCAAGTAATATATGTGAGGCAACGTGGTATATGTGAGGCAACGTGGTAGAATCAGGCTCTCGTCAAAATAATGAAATCGAAGAAAACAGCAGTTTTTTCCCTGCTTAGCAATTTTTATCAAATTTTTTTTTTTCGCTCAACACCTTTTATGTCCATTTACAAACACATTCCCTTGCGTTGATTAAAGGCACAAAAATATAAATTTAGTTTCCATGGACTCTCCAGCTTCGGAATTTACCAAGCTTTGGCGGCCATTTTCTTGCTAATTTTACCTCTTAAAACCAGGTGACCCTCACCTCCTTCAATCCAATTTATCTCCACTTCTATTGAAGATGGATGGGTAATTTTTTAATTGAAAGGAAGACAAATGAACAAGCTTTAAGATGATACCAATAACTCGATACGCCCAAAAATTGACGAGAGCCTGATTCCACCACGCTGCCTCACAAATTACACGTTTATTTGTCCCAGAAGGGCACTCTGGGATACAACGGCAAGCAAACATATACATACATAAATACATAATTATAAATACGTACATACATAAATACGTGCATAAATACACAATATTACACAAAATACAGAAGAGTTTACAACCATGCCACGGTCGGTCGCCACTGTGCAGCGCCCTGTATTTTGAGCAAGGGTTGACGTGTCTCGTTCAAGGACATTATACCCCAGTGACCACCCATCTGATCCCCGTGTCACCGACACTTGCTTGACATTACTTCAGTCGAAACTCACTACTT